AAATTAATTAAAAAAAAAAAAAAAACAAGAATTCAGATTATATATCAAAATATGTTAAATAAAAATATGTATTGAAGACACTCATTGGCAAAATCGTTTACATTGAAAGAAATATTAAATTTACATCGCATCAAATTCATTTACTTTTTATAATGTTTTAATAATTAAATAAGCAAAAAAGAAAGAAATATATTTACTTTGATCCCATCATAATTTTCCAAGGGAAAATCTTTCATTTAGATTTTGTGCTTTATTAATAATAGCATTTTTTTTATTCTGATTAAATCGATTAATTCGTAAGTCAATATCTCTGTCAAATGGTCTTCTAATTGTTTGTCCAGTTTTTTTTTCTTCTTTCTAAAATTGTTATTAAAATATTATATACAAAAAATATGTAAAAAAAAAAAATAAATAAAATTTTATTAAATAAATAAATAAATACCAATTTTTTCTTTCGGAGTTTATCTTGATGTATTTCTAAAAGTGATTTTTCGGATTTTCTATTTCTCTGATAATCAATTTCATCATTTTCAATAGATAAGTTTGTAATTAATGTCCTGTCATTATATAATTTTTCTTCTTCCTAAAATAAAAATGAATATTTAACATTATAATATAAAATATAACATTAATTTATATTTAGCAATTCCTTTAGTAATTTACGTAATGGTAAATATAAAACATGTATTTACTCGTTTTCGTTTTTCAGTTTTTTTTGCAGGAGTATCTGTCCAACATGATCTATCAGACATATCTGGACCTGCTCTCATCCGAAATTTTCGTGATGTTAATCCTAAATTATTGATTTGACTTGGTGGTAACTCAGTCATCCATTCTTCCCGTTGATTTAATATACCATAATCCTAAAATATTTCAATCTTTAAATATTTTTATTATAGTGAATATTAACATTAAGATGATTTATTTTACCTCATCTTTCTGTTCATTTTTAATTTGTTGAGCTCTTTGTTCTAATTGTTTATATACAAAATTATTTTCTAATGCTGGATGATTAGCAGGCAATGGGCCTATACCATCTTCATCTTCAGATTCTATTTGATTTATTTCATAATTATGAAATAACATTGCAGTATTTGGAAGAATAGGACCTATTATTTTTGTATTCATATCATCATTATATTTCTGCTTTAGCAAATGTGGTGGTAATGCTGGACCGAAAATATCCAAATATGAAACATCGTCTTGTATTATATTATCTTGACTGATATTATTTATTGTATCTTTTTCTATTTTTTCATTTATATTTCGTGCATTATTTTTTGGTAAACAAGGTCCTATAAAATCTTTATTTGATTCCATATTATTGGAAGGATCAGTTTTTAATTGCGGCGGTAAAGCCGGTCCGTATGTTGTAATTTTCTCATTAATATCTATTACTTTTACAGAATTGCAATTATTAAGATGCAAGGAAGTTGGTTCAGTGATGTATATGTTATTTTCTTCCAATGAAGTACATATTACTTCCCTATTATTTAAATCAATTATGTTTTTCCTCGATTCCATCAATATAGGTGATGCAGGATTTAATGAGATATCTGAAATGGTACCAGAATTATTATTACTGGAACCATAAAATAAATCATTCTTCCTTGCATTTACCTTTGGTAATTTCTCCATAGCTTCAATTTCTATCATATCTTTTTTTGATGAATTATTATGTTCATTGTTAAAATATCTTTTCTTTGCATTCTTATCATGTAATTGTGATAATGAATTTTTATTTTTTACATTTGAAATATCAGTTATATTTTCACTTTTCTTTGATAGAATGTTAAATTCAGATAAATTTAATTCATTATATTCTTGACTTTTCACTTTTTCTATTTCTCTCTTTGTTAATGATTCATTATTACAATAATCTTGTTTTATATTTTTGGATAAAAATTTTTTTTCATCTTCTTTCACTGATATTTTTTTATGAATATTATATTTTTCAAATTCTTCTCGAAACTTACTATCTTCGAATCTCATTTTACATGCCTGATTACTTTTATCACGATTTCTATCACAAGTATGATGTTTATTATATTTTTCATGACATTTATTTTTATGTTTGCCATTTTGTGATCTATCATTTTCATTTCTGCTATGACATTGTTCTTGAGATTTATTATTTAGATTTCGATCTTGACTTTTGTGTTTCTTTGTCTCTTTTGTTTTGTGTTTCGAAGATAATGAAATACTTTTAGTATCTAAACTAATATCTTTTAAATTTTTATAATCTTTATTATTTTCACGTCTTGAATTTTTTGTCTCATTTTTTAAATATTTAGTAGAATATTTAGAATCTCTATTATCATTATTCAATTCTTTTGAATGTTTATGTTCTTCTTTATTATAGTTACGTTTAAATTTATCTTTTTTATTTTTATGCTCTATATTACTATAACAAGATTCTTGTTGTGATTTTAAAGACGATAATTTTCTCATCTTTGTATCCATTTGTACATTATCTTTACGAGTGGCTTCAAAACGAAATCGCCGTCCATCATCACTGTCCTGACTCTCAGAATCAGAATCCATTGTGGTCATAGTTAATTACTGAAAGCAGCATAAATTTAATTCCTTATATGTCTATAAAAATAATATAACATATACACGCATACACATAAGCAAGCACATATGCATATACGCACGCGCACACACATACACACACATAGCATATATAAAGTATGCATTTTAATTATTTTATTTAACAGAATGGGACAATATTTCATAAAAATATTTTTAAAAATTAAGGTAAATAATACCTAGAATAAATAATTATAATTTAACTAAATAACAACTTTATTTAAAACACATTTGTATAAAACATAGTACATATGACAGAATTAAAGTATGAGTATGATAATTACTATTCTACGCGTTTATCTGTTTCCTTTGATTGAGTTTCGTTCTTCACACTTTCCATTATTCTTTCAACTTTACTTTGACTTGATTCTAGTTTTGGAAGGGAAGTTATCTGTGGGCTTGTTTGTAACATCTTCATTATTTTTGTTGTACTGTATTGAATAGATTTCACAAACCCAGCAGTTGCAATTCCTTTTAGACTTTGAGAAATACTAGATCTCCATATAATTTCTTTTAAACATTCTTCCAATATTTCTCCACAATCAGGATCATAAGCTATTGCACGTAAACAATCTTCAGTATCTTTTGATCTTGGACCTTGAGACCATGCTCTAACAAGATTAACTTGTGGTATTCTTGGTAATTGATTTAAATGATGTATTTTTGTTGCAGGACTTATATCTTGATGGCATATGACAGCCATTTTGTCAGATTTTGGAATATCAACATAATTTTCAAAATGTTGTAAAATTGGACTATATAATTGTTTAAAGTATGTCAACTGAGGCAGAACAATATTATTAATTTTTTCTTTATTTTCACCAAAAGTCATTCGAAAATCACCATTATAAGATAAGCCAGTGATAGTTTTATAAAAATCAATTTCTGTAAAATGCTGTGGAAGTAATAATAAAGCTGCATGTACAGCTGAATGTAAATTTTGTACTAAAGCAGTAGTTAATTGAGAATATTCATTTGGTTCCATAAGTATTTTAACTGGTTTATGTAATCTTCCGGCTAAATATATATCAGTCCAATCTAATAAATCTTCTACTAATGACACTTCAGAAACAACACCATATTTGATAGTATATCCTTCTTTCATTTTAACTAATGTATTATAATATACTTTAGCACCCCATTTTTCTTGTACATTAGTAATTGCTTTATGTCCAAGAAATCTTAATGGTTGAGCATAATGTTTAGGATTAAGTTTTAAATTTTCAGCATGCCATTGGTTTACATTACGAACAACAAATATAAGATCCACCATATTGTTAGATTCATTGTTTAATTGTTTAAATGCTGCAGATCCATATGCAAAACAAAACTTTATATTTCTTGGAAAATTTTTAAGTATATCTTTTAATTGATGAATTCCTATCAATTTTTCCATTATACTGAGACATCAACAATACAATCAAATTTTGTATAAAAGCACTCAATAGCTTTAATTCTGCATAATACTTCTTTATCCTCAAATATTAAACTAAAAATTTTTATGTAATATCATTACATATGCTAATTTTTCTCTTGCCAGAGTACAGTTGATTTGTTTTCTATTATCAAAATTATAAATATAATTAAAAGAAAGAATATAATATTGTAAAATAATGAAGAATGGCACTTGAAATGAAATAAATATTTTAAGTTTAAATCTTTTTAAAGTTTCAATAAAAAATATTTATAAATTTTTGGACATTTGTAATCAACTGCGCCCTTTAACAAAGATTCATTCTACTTAACCTAAAACTTTTTAAGATAAATTGTTTAATCAATATAATCACTTACTAAGTCGACGAAATATTGTATATCGAAGATTTGTTATGATGTATCAATTTCAATAATATAATTAATTTAAAATAAACTGACATAAATAAACAACGAAATTATAACATTTCAATATGCTTTGCATTGAATCTAGAAAAATATGACTACTTGAATTGTACTTACATACATTTAGTATGTATAATCTGGTTTACATTGGCTAGCATAGAAATTTGTGCCTTGTGATATCATTATAATCAATCAATTATTAATTTATTTTAATTATATATTTTAATATATTTATATAATTTTATTTTTTTTCATATCAATAATAATTAATTATTTTAATAATTTTGAATTTATTTTTTTTTTTAAAATTCCATTATATTTGATAATATATCTATGTATATTATATTCACTATGGCACATAATTGGAAATAAACAAAACCACGTGATCAAAATCTAGGGGAATTAAGGTCAAATTCATAATTCCAAAATATGAAATAACTATTTTTCTTTATATTATAAAATTTTTATGGAATTATTTATTGTCAATAAGCAATATATATTATGCAATAATAAACATAAATTATTATTAAGATTAAAAATCATAAATACAGACAAAAAAATAAACAATTGATAAAAAAATTATGATAAGCATCAACGTATTTCGATTTTAATTTCGTCTGTCAATAGCTAAAGTCAACATTTATCACGAATTTTGGTAAGTTAATTTATTCATTTCTGGTATTTTCAATAAATATAATACACAAGATAATAAAAATGATTGGTTCATAATTCTTCGAATTTTCACTTATGCTTAATCCTTCATATTATATATTTTTCAAAATTATTTAAAAAATTATTCTCTTTAATGAAAACAAAAAATTGTTTATAACTTTGAAAATATTTATTTTTCGAACTATGTTTATTATTTTTTAGGAATTATTAATTATTCTAGAATTTATAATTCTTTTTTTTAATCACCCTGTATATAAAAAATTTTCATCCTAGTACATTTTTTGGTGCAACTTCTAGTATGTACAATGTAATTGCTAATTCCAGATTGGTTATACTTTATCTAGATTTAAAATAATTTATATCATAAAATAATATTTCGTAAGTATATTTCAAAATATATTGTGCACTATCTGTTACTTATATATGCACATCTAAATTTGACAATGTCAAATGCATAATAAAATATAATTGTAAAAAAACATATGATTGAATTAGTGATTTTATATTGTACAGCTGATTATATTTAAACAAGAAATATTATTTAATTATATTTATTGATATATTATCAATATAGAAAGAGATTTATTTAAATAAAATATTAGGTATTGTAATAAAATTTATATAATCTACAAATTATTCTGTAGAATATTAATTAATAATTTTACATATATTGTAAATAATATAAACAAATAGAAATAGAAATTAAATATGGAAGTTGATGAAAATAATGCAACGGCTTCAACGGATACACCAATGGAAGTTGATGATGATACTTCTGGAAAAAATAATACTATGTCAACAAATACTCCTAGTGCTATAAAAGTAATGGCATCTTCAGGTACTGTTGGTTCTGTTTCTATTAGTCTTCATCCTCTTGTTATAATGAATGTTAGTGAACATTGGACTAGACTTCGTGCCCAAGAAGGAACAGATCAATTAGGTATATATATATTGCATATTTTTCATTTTTTGCTTAATTATTTATATTCTTCATAATTTAATATTTTAGTATATGGAGCATTAATTGGCAAACAGAAAGGACGCAACATAGAAATTATGAATTCTTTTGAATTAATGTTTACATGTATTAAAGATGATGTGATAATTGATAGAGACTATTATAATACTAAAGAAGAACAATTTAAGCAAGTTTTTAGTGAAATGGATTTTCTTGGATGGTATACTACAGGTGACATGCCTAATGAAAGAGATATTACAGTACATAAACAACTTTGTGAAATTAATGAGAGCCCTGTGCTATTAAAACTTGATCCAAGACCAAAAAATACTGATGTATGTATTTGCTTTTATTATTAATTTTATATATGTATTATATAATAACACATTACATTTTTTAGCAACTTTCTGTTTCTATGTATGAATCAGTAATTGATTTAGTAAATGGAGAAGCTACAATGTTGTTTGTTCCATTGACTTATACATTAGCAACAGAAGAAGCAGAAAGAATTGGAGTAGATCATGTAGCAAGAATGTGTAGTAATGATCAAGGAGAGAGTTCATTAGGTAACTTCATATTATATTAATTTATAATTATAAAAATAAAATGACATTTCATTAGTAATTTGTAATAGTTGCTGAACATCTCACTGCACAACATAGTGCTATAAAAATGTTACATTCAAGAGTAAAATTAGTTCTAAAATATGTACAAGCTGTACAGAATGGAGAATTGAAAGGAAATCATGAAGTTTTAAGAGCAGCTTGTTCTTTAGGACACAGATTACCAGTTTTAAATAATCCTAAATTCAAAGCAGATTTTTATAATGTAAGTATTTGTTACAATATCATCAAAAAAACAATTTACTTACATATTTAATATATTATTTATATTTTTTAGCAATGTAATGATTTTGGCTTGATGACCTATCTTGGTATTATAACAAAAGGTTGCAACAATATAAATCAATTTGTTAATAAATTCAATATTTTGTATGATAGGCAAGGTGTTGGTCGTCGTTTGCGAAGTCTTTTTTTGTAATGAGTAAATAGAAATTCATTGTTTTTTTATACTTGTACCTTTTTTACTCTAAAAATTATAATGAATATTTCTGGAATTTCAGAAATTCAATGCAGTAAATTTGGTTAATAAATCAAATGTTGTAATAGATATTGTACCTCATAAAAATAAATATAAAAATAAAATAAATATTGCAATATTTGGTTTCAATTTATAAGGATAAATTAAATTTTATATATCTATCTCATTATATAAATCTTTTAATATGTGCTTCGTATTTTTTTTAAATATACAAAGAGATAACATACATACAAAGAAAATTTTGAAACACATTCTATATGATATTTTTTGAAGTGAAACGTACATCGAGAATGTACTTATAAATGGCTGATACAGATTATTATTATATGTTTTTTTTATGGAAGACATCTCATAGTATGTATATATATTTTATATTTATATTTTCAGAGGCCACGTTCCTTTCTTCTTACATATTTAATTTTTATAGTTTATGTAATCTATTTTGTATAAATTATATTCAAATATAAAAAAGCGGCCTATAAAATACGACTATAGTTTTTATCTAAAAATCTATTTGAGTATTACATATTTTTACTTAATATATATAACGACTTATAAATATTATACTGTACAAAATATAGTATAGTATATTGTGCCTTGTTAATTATTGCAAATAACTATATTAAGTTATATATCTTATGTATTATTTGTAAACATAAAACAGAATTGACTTTTCATATGACTAGAATAATTGAACTTGGACAAATTTTATTTTAGTGAAATTTTTTATGTAAATTCACTAAATAATTGTGTTATTTATGTTGCAAAGAATATTTCATGTTATTTATATAATATGTAATATAATATTTTCTAAAATGTATACGAAATTTTCAATTTTTATCTTTGTACGTTGTAAGTTGTGCGAATGTATTTGATATTGATATGAAATGTTTAATTCACAAAATTCATTTTTTCTTTTTCTGATTCTTCTTCTTTCTTCTGATTTATATAAATCTTAAAAAATTAAAATTTTTTCTCACTGTAAGATTTCTTCTTAAATGATTTCTGAAATACATTTTACTTTCAAAAATTGCAAAAGACACACACTTATTTGTTGTACTATTTTGGTATTATCTTCAAGTATTTAATAGGCTGTCTTCAATCATAGTAGCAAGTATATCTACCAAAACTGACAGCATTGAATCGGGCTAAGGACTTGGTTTATCCATACCAATTATTTCTTCAAAAAGAGTATTTCTTCCTTCTGTTCTTTCTTCAATAATGTGTAATGCAAATCTTAATGTTGCCGCAGCTAAATCACCAACTGACCAATGTCTATCCATGAGAACTCTACTTACAGTATCTAACTAAAATAATTAAAAAACTAAAATTGTATAAAAAATAACACGCACACGCACACGGACGCACACACACACGCACGCACGCACGCACGCACGTACACAATTATGTTATATTTATTACCTTTGACAAACTGGGATTTCCTGTGGTGTAATATATTAATTTTGGCACTCCTGCCAAAGAAGCAGCAAGCC